CCTTCCTTTCTTCCTTTCTTCTTTCCATCCATCCATCCTGTCTCCCCTTCCTTCCATTACACCCATCCATCCATCCCTTCTATTGCATCACTTCCTTCCTTTCTTCCTTCCTTCTTTCCATCCATCCATCCATCCTGTCTCCCCTTCCATTACATCCATCCATCTATCCCATCTCCCCTTCCATTACATCACTTCCTTCCTTCCTTCCTTCTTTCCATCCATCCATCCTGTCTCCCCTTCCTTCCATTACATCCATCCCTTCTATTACATCACTTCCTTCCTTTCTTCCTTCCTTCCTTCTTTCTTTCCATCCATCCTGTCTCCCCTTCCATTACATCTATCCATCTATCCCATCTCCCCTTCCATTACATCACTTCCTTCCTTCCTTCTTTCTTTCCATCCATCCTGTCTCCCCTTCCATTACATTCATCCATCCCATCTCCCCTTCCATTACATCACTTCCTTTCTGCATTCCTTCTTTCCATCCACCCCATCTCCCCTTCCTTCTATCACATCCATCCATCCCACCTCCCCTCAGTCACATCTCTCCTTCCTCCCTCTATCCCTCCCTTCCATCCCACCTCCCCTTATGTCACATTCTTTCCTTCCTTCCATCCATCCATCCCACCTCCCCTTCCATCACCTACCTTCCTTCCTTCCATTACATCCATCTACCTCCCTTTCCTTCAGTCCTTCCATTACATTATCCATCCATGCATCCATCTACCAATTACATCCATCCATCCCGTCTCCCCTTCCATCACATCTCTGTCAGTCTTCCTTCCACCCATCCATTCTATCTTCTCTTCCTTCAGTCCTTCCATTTCATCATTCATCCACCCATAATGAAGTTGTATGTTCCTTCCAGGTACACTCCGTATCCCAACCTGTATCCAGACCAGTCCCCCAGTGAGGAGTGGACGATGGAGGAACGCTTCCGACCTCTGACTTTCCACGGCCTGGTCCTGCGCTCACAGCTGGTCACTTTGCTTGTCCGAGGAATCTGCTACGCAGAGAATCAATCCGTGAGTTCCAACTTAAGAAGTGACCGGGCTGTCTGAATAGATGATAATCCATCAGATTTTTCTGGGATAGGAGAGATTCTTGCATTAATGCCCCGATTAGTTTTGTTTTTTTCCCCCAACCAAAAACCCTATCAGGACCTTTTTGAGCGTGTTAGAGAAGTGGTGTCTTTATTTCTTCTTGTTTCACCCTTTCCTAGAGTACCACTCAACCTCGTCTCTCGTATGCAGATATGTCAGAAGATTACCCACGCTATCCAGACATCCACGACTTAGATCTCACCCTCCTGAATCCGCGCATGATTGTGGTAAGGCCTTCCTTCTCCTTGCAGTTGCTGTAGCTTCTATCTTGTGTCCTAGAAAAGGCACTTCTGCATATCTTGGGATTTTTCTGGACTGTTTTCCACGTTTCCGTGTTTGTTTTTGGAGGTTGCCTGTTCAGGACTGGCTACAGAGGACAAATGGTGAAAGTAATGCAGACCTTGGGGCATTTTGTTCAGCTAAATAAATTCCTCTGTGAAAGTCACAGGCTTTTAAAAAAAATAAAGGGAAAATAGGAGAGGAAAAAAGGTGTAGGGAAAAGGAGACAAGAAAAAGAAAAAACATTTTATTTATTTATTTAATAAATATTAAGGATTATATTTGAAATAATTGAAATGAAATAAAAAGATGTTTAGATTGAGATTAATGAAAGAATTTAGAATTAAACTTTATTATTATTTATTAGGCAAACACATATTGTTTATCTTTATGTTTAAAAACAAATACTAAAGGATTATATTTGAAATCATTGAAATGAAACAAAATTGATTGAGATTAATGAAAGAGGCTAGAATTAATGTGTTTGTTTCTCTCCTTACTGAAAATCTGGAATGGAAAAGGTAATAATAGAACTAAGTATGCATATATCAATCAATGTATAATTTCTGTCATATTTGTATGTAAAGATGATGACCCGGAAATATGTTGTCCACTAAAAAGAGATTTTTGTTTTTAATGTGAAAAACTGAATAAAGTCTGTTAAAAAAAACAAAAAAACATTTTCACTTATCTTTGCATTTCTATATTTTATATTTCGATAAACCAATTATTAATTTGAATGGAAGGTCAAGGTTTTTTTTTTCCCTCCCCAACAGGACGTCACGCCTTACATGAACCCTTCTCCCTTCACCATCTCGCCTAATGCTCACATCTCCCAAGTCTTCAATCTCTTCCGGACGATGGGGCTGAGGCACTTGCCGGTGGTGAATGCCGTCGGGGAGGTGAGTTTGTCTGCGGAGTCTTTGTGGAGACAACGTCCCTCTTTTCTGAACCGATTTGCTTAAAGTTGAGCCAAGGTGAAAGTTTGAGGTTTCACCACTAGATGTCGCTGCAGGCCCACAAAGGGTGCCGGAGCTCTCAGGCAGCCTAGGAAGAAATGCTCGCAACTGTGGGTCGGGTTCCTGAGACCACTTGTTCAACTTGCTGCAAAGGCAACTTGAGAACGACTTTAAGGGTCCTGGATTTCAACTCCCAGAATTCCCCCGGCCAAATTGAAGCCCACGAGCCTTCAAGTTGCCACCCCTGCTTTAGAGTCTTTACTCAGAGGGGGAAACTAATATTAGGGCAAATTCTAAGATGGAAGGACTGCAAGATTCGTTTCCCTCCTTCCCTTCCAGCTCTGCTTCAGTTTGAGGGGAAGATCAGGCTTTGAAATTTCGAAATAACTTTATTTTCTTGAGGGAGAAGCGTATCCGGAGTATCCAGGGGAAGTATTTTCCCGCTTGGAATGTGGGTTTCTTGCACCAATTCCATGGGTTCGGGTTCCCTTGTCTCATTCCTGAGGGTAGAGCTTATGGAGCAGGGCTACCATCCCCTCTGAGCCGAATTCAGACAAATCACCTGCCTCGCTAATTTAGGAAAGGTTGCTGGGAAAGGGATACCCTCCGGAGCTGCAGAGGGAGCACCGTTTTGAACTGGGACGGGGTGAAACCAGAAGGCCGTTGAGTCAGCTTCCTGCATGCTGGAAAAACATCCGCAGCCTGATTTTAGAAACGCCGACACTCTGGGCCTTCTGCCGTTTTGTTTTGCTTTCACGCTTCACAAATTCACTTGCCTTTTCTCTCTCTCTCTCTCTCTCTCTCTTCCAGATTGTGGGCATTATTACTCGACACAACTTGACCCACGAATTCCTCCAGGCCAGGCTGCGCCAGCATTACCACACCATCTAACCTCGTCTCCCGCCTCTTCCACCTCCTGAGACACACACACACACCCCGCTCCTCCTAGGGATTCCTGGGCCCATCATGCTGCACTTTTAGGTCAACCAAACAAGCCCATCCTCCTTGTCCTCTTTCGGAGCCGTAAACTGTACATCCTTTAGGCTGGGGTGACGGGGGAAAAAAGGCATAATGTGTGGGAGATCTTGAGCGCTGGCTGTCCTCTTCTTGTTCTAGCAGCCGTGCGCTTCCCTGTTGGGGTTTGGATCAAATCATCCCAGGGCTTCGGTTGCCCTTTCGGTTACTCGAAAGGATCCCATCTTTACCTTATTCCAGAGAGAGAGAGAGAGAAAGAATTGTCATTCTTCCTCTTTTGCCTTGCTGAAGGTTTTTGCAAATCTTTGCAGACTTCGCTCTTTTGGGCCAGTTGGGGACACCGTTACCTTCAACTTCAAACTTAGCTACCTACGTCTCGGTTTAATTAAGGCATTAGGTAAGATTGAAACAGGACAACGACAACAACAACAACAACCCAACCACGACGATTATTCCGACTGGGGGCCTTTTGACTTTCTGCTCTTCGCAACCTTCTCTCTCCGTCCTGACGTCTCTCTTTTGAGATCAACCCCCCCCCACCGGCAACCAAGGAAAATCTCCTGCTCCGGGGAAAGGTTTCAGATCGAGCCTTTGGTCCTCCGGATCCTGACTCGGGATCCCCTCCCGAAAGTTTTGCAAGAGTGGGGATCCAGAAGCGGTTGGCGGGCGTTAAAAGCGTCGGAGCTGCTGTTGGTAGAACAGGGGAGCCGTTGGACCGGATTTCGAACACAATCGCCTCCTTCGGGTGCCGAGCTTCAAACTGAGCCCCCCCCTTCCATTTTTTTTTTTAAAAATCTGACACAAAAAGTCAATTCATTGCCAAGTGATTCTGAAGATGCAGAAGGAACCAAGACATTTTGGGGCGGGGGGGAGGAATATATGGCCTGGCGGGACCAAACCGGTATTGGGCGATGTTCTTCTCCAACCCCTAACAGGCCCTTTTTTGCAATGCTGTTTTCCAGCTTGGCTGATCCACCTCCTCTTCCTCATCCCATCCTCCGTGCTTCCTTTCTTGCTGTCTGACAATTCCACCCCTATTTTTCCTCTGTTTCTGGCTGGGGAGAATGTTCTCTCCCAATTCTTCGAAATCCTTACCTGCAGGGTGTCCCCAAATAACTTTTGACTTTTCCTGTCGTCCCAGCCAGACGGTGCCTGGAAGGGGTGGAGGGGGGTGCATTGTTGAGACCGAACACCTTTGCTTCTCTGCAGGGGGTGGCTGTTTTCCTTTGCCCTGGCCTGACCCTCCCTGCGCAGCACTCCTCTTCCCCTCCCTCCTGGTTTGTTACCTTCACCGAATCTGGTTTTTGCAGAAGGACTGTCATTTCCAGCCCTGGGTGGGGGAGAGGTGGCAGCAGGGCAAGGGGGAGGACACTCTTAATAGTTACAAGGGACACCCAGAATGGATCTCGGAGGGGAGTTTGGGGAGGGGGGCGGGATGCCTGCAGCGGCTGCGTTCAAGAGCTTGTCCATCCTGGCTGGTTTGGCTCACACAAAACCTTGAGCCGGCTGTGACCGGTTTGGTCTTTCTAATAACCGAGCCTCATCCCACTGGCTCTTGCGCTGGCAATTCCGGCAGACTCCTGTCTTTGTCGCTTTTGTGTGTGTGTGTGTGTGTGTGTAACCTTTGCATAAATCTCTTTTCAAGGGAAAGCAGAAATTGAGCCTTGGCAAAAGAGCTGATACAGCCTTGATAAAGCACAGCCATTTGACTGTTTGGAAGGGGAGGCCGACCTGGGCCCAACTCTTTTTGTCCACCTCTGGTTAGAAGACTTAATCGATGCAGCTGCCCCCCCCCCCCCAAATTCCCTCAGGGGGTCTCCGCTGAAGGAAAGGAATGCCTGTGCAGGGCAGGGAGGGGGCACTCATTCACTCAAAATTTGGCTCAAATCCTCCCCAAGTTCCCGGCGGGAAAGGGACTGCAGTTGGTTGCAGTCTGGAAGAGTCAAATATTGCAAGGTGGCCAAAAAAAAAAACACCCGTAACCGATTCTTTGCTTATTTGCCCGCTGACACGATCGGCAACAAAATAATTCAATTTTCTGGCTTCGGCTGCAAACGGGGCACAGCCGTTTCTTGCACAGGCAAAGTTTTCGATGTGCTCCGATGCTAATTAAGTCTCCCATCCAGGGAGGTTGTGTTGCTGTTTTTTGTTTTTTTCCTTTCCACTTTCCAGTAATAGATTATCTCTACCTATTTTGGAGAGACGCAGTCTGGGCGCCGAGCAGAAGTCCGATGTTTGAATACTGGTTCTGTCTACTCACGGCAGGAATGCCTTTGCATGGTTTGTTTTCGTTCACCTCTCCGGAATACTCCGTTTTATCTCCTCCCTCCCCCCTTTCCTAATATTTCTTTACTCCCTTCTCAACCCCAATGAGATTGCAGCTCCTCCTTGGCCCCCTCCTGCACTTGACCTTAAAAATATAAGTCATTTTCCTTTTCCAAGGTATTAACCTTCCCCTGCCCTCTTTATAACCGTTTCTGGTTGGAACAGGCTTGTTACCAACTCTCCGTAGGCCTGTCTTTCATGGCATCAGCCCATGCAACATTCCCCTTTGCAACCTGCATTTTCACAAGCCCAAAATTATCCTGGCTAGTTAGTTTTTTACTTGGTTATACTGAGCCATTTGATTCTAAAGTGCAGGCTATAAACGACCATTTTGTTTGCGTCTCTTGTGTGTTTGTGTTCGGGAAAGAGACCAAGATTCTTATTTTCCCAGGAAGCTAAAGTAGTTTTGTTTTGTTCTGCTTTGCTTCAAGAATTCCAGACTTCACAAGTGAGTGAGTGTGTGTGTGTGTGTGTGAGAGAGAGAGAGAGAGAGAAATAATAATTTATTTGATTCTACTTGAATGCTTTAAAAGTGGATGAGGAAAAAAATGCCAAGCTAATATTTTTGCCATTTTGTATGATTGCTGGCCAGTTGTAACTTCCCTCTTCATTTCATTTCTTCGTTTCATTTAGAGGGTAAAAAAACTTGGATTCTCAGCTGCGTTCATCTGTCTCACCCAATAGTTGGCATCTTGCTAGGCTGGGGATAAAAAATGTTTTTTTTTTTTATTTAAACCGTGTAAGGTAGCCCTAAAAATTCAGGTGACACTACAGTCCATTGTCAAAAGTAGGTGCCCCATTTGTTAGCAGGTTCTCGCTTCACAATCCAGATGACAACTGCAGTTGTGTTAATGTGTGTATTATAATCAAAGAGTTGAAATTCCAATTAGTTGATACCCTTCAGGTTTGTAAAAAGATGCAGGAGGACTTCTCGGTCTTTATTTGTCACGGCTTAAAATCATAGAATCGAACCAAGAAAAAGCGATTCCTGTAAAATGACGCTAAATCTCTCCTGCATTCCACGAATTGTGTTGAGAATCGTCTTCTGACTTACAATAATGGAAGAGGGTTTTCTCGCCTTCCCAGAAAACTCTAATTAACATTTTGCACGCCAATTTTGGCTGGACCCACTTCAGTTCTGGGTTGATAGGCCGCTCAGAATCCATGTCTTGGGATTTTCATGGATGCTGGGGCAGTCTAGGAATTCTCTTTTTTTTTTTCCTGCTCTCTCATCCCTTAAACAGTATTAATATCCATTCCAGAGGGAGAAGGGAGGGACATTTCTTCAGCTAATAAGCTCTTAACAAATATTTTGATTTCCAATTGCACTTCCCCTTTGTCAACGTAAACCGAATCGTGGGGAGCTAATTTTGTGTGCATACTATTTTTGTTTTTAATAACGTTTCAAATCATTCTGGGCAGAGAATGTGCTAGGTATATATATTTTTTAAAATTTTGGTTTTGAGCACTTGTATTCTATAGCCATGGTCCTTCTCTTTCAAAAAAAAAACAAAAACCCCACAATAAAATTCCTCCTTTATGTCTTTGGGGCCCCGTTCCCCACCCTACCTCTGTCATTGTGACTCTTTCTCGCCGTTCTTGATTTCCCCTCCCCAATGTTTAAATTTTGTTGCATTTTTATTTTATTTTATATTCAGACACACCAGCATTTTCATCCCCGGAGACATTTAAAAGGCTTCTTGGGATGCTTAAAAAATGGAGTGATAACCCTCTTAGTCTCCATGATATGCTATTCAAAGGTAGAGTGCTTCAGAACATGCAGGCTCGCTTTAATTGTCTCCCAGTTTGCTTTGCAGATGTGTTGGACTTTAGCTCCCATGTATATTAGCCATAGATGACAGTAATAGGTTGCTTATTTATTTTATTTAGATTTCCCCGCTGAATTTATTTAGAAGAAGACAGCAAAGAGCCTGGGCATGGCTTAGCTGAATTGGAAGAGATTTCTTTTCAGGTGAGGAGGGGGAGTAGAACTCCTTAGCATCAGAGCGTGTTAATGATAATAATATAGGAAATACTAAAGCTCTGATGGTCACTTCGAAAAATCCTTTCTTAGTGAGCGCCTAGAAGCCAAAAAGAACATGCATGACAAATTTCAAGTTTGTAGGCTTTGCGGTTCTGGAGATTTTGTGATGATGCCTGAGGAGTATTTCACTTTTATATATATAGATATATAATATATATTTGTTGATTAGCCTATATAGGCCATATCAAGGTACAGGTTCAAATACATATTACTAATAAAATTCCAAACACAATTTAAAATGAGAGTAGGGTAAAATAACAATAGTTATAGCAATAATGGCGAACCTTTTTGTTGTGGTGTGCTGAGCGTGCGTGCGTGCCAGCACCCATAATGCAATGTGCCCTGCCCCCCTGTGCATGCACACGCAGCACCCTTTCCCTCTTACTTGCACTGCACACGTGCGTGCCTCCCAGCTGATCTTTGGCCTGTTTGACGCTGTTTTCGCCCTCCCAAAGGCTTGAGGGAAGCCCGTTTTTCGGCCTCCCGAGGCTGCAGAGGCTTCCCTCGAGCCTTCAGGAGGGCAAAAACAGCCTCAAACGGGCCAAAAGTCAGCTGGGAGGTATGCGCAGTGTAGGTAAATTTGGCTGGGCTTGCGTGCCCGCACAAGTGGCTCTGCGTGCCATAGGTTTGCCATCACAGAGTTATAGGATAAAACACAATAATACCTGAATATGTAAAGTAGAATAAAATGACATAAAATTATATTTTTGTATCCCCCCTGCAATCTACCCCAATCAGGCTCACCTATGCTGATTTCAGTCGGACCATTTTAGTCAGAAATTGTGCTGTATTAAATGTTGTTTTCAGATTCTGGTGTTTTAATGTGAGCCTCCCACTGGTCCATATGTT